CTCTTTCCAGCTACTTTATACGTCTTGTGATCATGGTATAATTACTATGGTATCTAAAATTTCAAATCAAACAACCACACTTTCAACTTTCAACCAAAACTTGGTCACCAATATTTTGGTATAAATATATTTTCATGTTTTCTTTCAATCAACCAAAACAATATTAGTCGTGATCCCGACATATAAATCAATGGAAGAAACTACTTTATAAACATCTAAATATATTCATTAAATTAATAAGTTGTTCTTATACTAGTAATATTAAAATTGATATTTTTAATCAAGATTTTAAGTTTGAGTCTTGTATATAAATTAAAAAGTGATTGAGAGGAAATATTTAATTAAAAATGTTAATTAGGTTTATCAATGAAAATTAATCATTGATATCAATATTTTTTTTAAAAAAAACATACAAATTAGAATTCAAAGGTTAGCAAAGTTTCTTAGTTATCATCAACAACAAAATTTGGTGGGCAAATATGCTTTACTCCATTAGCAAAAAAGTTGTCATTGATTCATGTATTTACATTAGTTTGTGGATATATATGTTGCATTTATAAATAACACAAATACATGAAACAACTAGAAGCTAAACCAGGAGTTGAAGAGCATGCTGCCCTATTTTTTTTTCTTTTTTTCTTTCATTTCGTTCTACTTCACCCGTGTCCTCAGAAGGAAAGTAATAAGATTGAGAATAAATAATTATAGCATCATGGAACACGTTTGTCCTCATCCTTGTCTAAGGGCCAAAGCAAAGCCATTTCTTCTGCAACCAAAACCATGTACATATAATTCAGCTCACAATGAAAATAAACATAATCATCATTATCAAATATCAATGCAAATGGTGTACAATAAGGAGGAATAATTAAGCAGTTTAAAACTAATATAGTTCTAGATAATTTTCAGGTGATACATCACCGAATTCTTTCGCTTATTGTGTTATATGAAAATTAATCGAAACCATGAACATGATCATGCAATGATTGTCACTATATACTAATTTATCGTAAATTTAAAGGATTTAGAATTAGAAACAACTTGTGAATGAATAAATTTACTTTTGAGGCACTCTTGAATTTTTGTTGACCATGAACATAATCATCATTATCAATACAAAAAGTATACATCACGGATAAATTATTAAATGATTCAAAACTATAATGGTTCTAGAGAATCTATACCTAATACATAACTGAATTCTTTCACTTATGTGTCAGATGGAGATTGATCGAGACCATAGATATAAACATATAGTGATTGTAACTATATGATACTTTCTCACACATTTAAAGGGTTTAGAATTAGAAACAACTTAGAAATGAATAAATTTACCTTTGAGGCACTACTCTTGCATTTTTGTTGACCCTTACGATTGCGAGAATCATGTCTACGCTGAGAAGGGAATCTTCCAGATGCTGAAGCAATTTTTTTCTCATCTCTGGCCTTGTTGAATATAACAGTGAATCCTTCAGCTGAGGCAGGATCATTTACATCCCATTCCCCAAACTTGGGTAAAGGCTTTCCTTGTTGTTCATCATACTATACACCAAACAAATGATTCATTGAGGAAAGCTTTTGCTATTGCATATATTGCATATTGCGCATCATCTTAAGGCAACAAAGAGAATAATATGTATATCTGAATTTCATTCCTGCCTAGATTTCGTTGGAAAGAACAAAAACATATATACAATTATGAAAAACCTTAGATAGCTAGATGCATGCATGGAGGTTTTTAGCCATTTTTTTTTCTTACATAAATTGGTTAATTATGGACAAATATTGAATTTTTTCTTGTTTATTTCATCAGAGAATCTATCATTGAGTCCAAATAGATTCTATCCAGACATTTGCATTCAATCATTTGAGTCTACAAAATTGGAAGTTTGTGTTTTTTTCTATGTTTTGGAAATGACATAACAAAAAAGAAGCCAACATGCAATGCATGGTAATTGAGAAGATCATACCGAAGCCATGAGATTGATGCTTTGTGATATTCAACAAAACCTGAAATTACAAGAACATGAAACACGAGGGAAGAAGTAAAATTGAATGTGGAAAGAAAAGGGTGGAATGTATAACTTTATAATAAAAGGTACGAGAAAGAGGAAACCAAGTGCAACGAAAATTAGCTGTTGGGTTTGCGTGGCCAACTCATCCAAATCAAGGTTTATTTAATTATCAACATTTTTTTTGTTAACAATAGCACAAACCAAATGCTTTCCGTTACAAAATAGTAACAGTTAAACTATTTACAGTAAATAATTTGGTGTACCCTTCCACATTAGAGCAACAAACAAAAACGTATATTTGAGCTTTATAAAAAATTCTTTTTTTTGTACTTTATAACATTAAAAAAATATTTACATTCTATCATTTTTTTTCTAAAGAAAGATATCGGGAGAGTCTAAGATTGGAATCTTTTTTCTTCTTTGTTAATCCTTTGTACCATGCTAATTTTTTTTCACACCTTGTTATATGTTATTTTGTTGTATGTAAAAAAAATCTAAATCTTAGAAATGACATAGGCCGAAGCTTACATGTATTGCATCGCATGGTATTTGAGAAGATGGAGATGGTTATAAGAAAGATCATGCATACTGAATCTATGAGAATGAAGTTTTGTAATATTCAGTAGAACTAGAAATTGGGTAAAATAAATAAATGCCTAGAACAAAATATGAAGAAATGTCGATTAACAACTCATCCAAAATGCTAGCGATATACATTGGGTAAAAATCATTAATTATTATATAAAAAAGAGTAATAATTATTACAGTCATTAAAAAACTAATAAATATTGATCGTTCAATATTATTTGAATGATTAAAACTAAAATAAATATCTATAACCTTTTCCACTAATCATATCTTAATCTTAATAATCTACATTTGATTTATATAAACAAGATTTATTATTTTCACATTTTTTAAATAAGAACGATTTTTTGCTGTAAACATAAAAAACAACTATTTTCGTTATACATGACCCTAATATAAAGGAATCCACCAACATAGTATAAATCGAACTCTTACATTCCTCTCCAATAACCTGTTTCCGTTGCAAAATCAGAGTTTAACTATAGGTTAAATTACCTTTTTAATTAGTTTCATAAACTTTACAATTAAATGTCTATAGTTAAAACTGTTTTATTTTAGATTTTGTAATACCATTTTGTTTGTTTTTTTTACTCTTTATAATTTTATAAATTTCATCTTTCAATTCTTATAACAATAGATGACAGATATTAATAGGAAACAAAAATAATTAAACCTTTAAAATAAATAAATATAGATGGTTACCCATAAATTGAAAGCAAACAAAAGTGCAAATTTGACAGAGTTTTCCTTCAAAAATAGAAATGAATTACCCTTCATTGGTATCTGTATCTTCATTTTGATTCACTGCTTGAGGTATAAATGAATCAATCTTAAAATCGTTCTACATTTTTATTACATTAACATGCGAAAAAATTCATCTACCTATTTTCTACCCACCACATCCTTTAATATTAAAACAACTTTAGGCCAATACAATGGAGGGGCTTTGTTTTTAAAGAAAGAAGGCTACCAAAAAATGAGCCCAAACATTGAAGACCAGAATCTCTGAATCCCTAAAATGTGATTGCAGAGAGAACAAATAGTGGATTTGACGAGACTAGAGAAAAACAGGTTAGGCTTCATTAGGAAGCAAAAAGAAAGACACGAATAAAAAGGGACACTTTTATATCTATAATACAATTTGCAGATGCAGGACCTTCAATTTTGAGCAGTCCAGGTAGGTTTGATCACAACTCTTCTACAAGATCGTCACCAGTAGCCACATATGCAAGATAAGCACATAACCAATAAGCCCTAATCTTGCTCTAGGACGACTCATAAGAACCCTACCACCAGATACCCTGCATAGGGAAATTAAATTCCAATTTAAGAATGTTTGACCAAATTATAAACATGAAAATTTGCATCAGTAAAAATTTAGTGTTGAATTCTCAACGATAAAAACATTGGATTTGCAATGTAATGTAAGTATTGAAATACAATTAAAAGAAACTATTAGCTTTAATATTACAGAGATGAATTTACTAAATTTTAATGATTTATTAAAAAATGGTTGCTATAATGCTACTGAATGCATTTAGTTACCTCTGATGTTGAATGATTTCAGCAGTTTTATCCTTAAACAAATTAAACAACACCAATAAATCAATTCCAATCATTCAGGGCAGAATCACCTTCCATACTAAAATTGAGTTTTACTTTTTAAACAAATCTTTAAACCATATATTCCAAGGAAAATGTCATTAGGAGTATGTTGATTTGATACTATGAGAAAGATCATTTTTTCTCCAAACAACTCCAAATATATGCAGCATTTAATTTTTTCCTATAGAATGAAACCATTTTAACAGTCTAGTACATGCTTATCATATTAAGGATTTTAATTATTCTGCTTTCAACATTTCAACCTACATCAATTTTATTTTACCATGTGAATTCTACGATTGCTTATATGTTAAAAAGTTGATACAAACAATTTCTGATACTCATTCTTTACCATTGTCAAAAACAAAAAGATACAACAAATTACCAAACAGGAATTTACCAGAGTCCATCAATACGATCTGCAATGAGCTTTCCCTGTTTCGGTACAAATCCAGAAGTGTTCAGAGACTTGAATAGATGGCCTGCAAAGTGTTCTAGAATTAAGCCTTCAAATTTTTGAATCAAGCAATTCACAATAATGAGAAACTCGTAATTACCTTTATCTTCATCCTTATCTGCCCTCTTGATCAAATTATCAGACTCCAAACTAATATCAAGTGCTAGATGATCAGTAGATCCTTTTCGCATATTCCGCACATGAGCAGCCGGTGGGACAGGAGAAATTGGTTTCTTGCCAAGTGATCCCTGTGAAAAGAAGATAACACCTTATATATGCATTTCCCTTGATCACTTAAATGCATGCTTTGAGAATGCATCACAATGAATTAATAAAAGAAAAAACAAGATGTGATCAACCATAATCAAATAAAGTTCCAATATGTATAGGGGAAGAAATAACCCTTCGAAAAGAACTTCTAGTTCATCTGCTTTTAGTTCAAGAAAAAAATAAAGCACATGTAGGCATATCTATTTGTCATATTTCAGAAGCAATTAATTCAAAAAGACAAAGACAAGTATCAAATGACAATGCACGGTAAACCATCTATATTATGTCAGGAAAAGGATCACAGCTAATATGTTTTTCATTTAAAAACAAATTATGAATCATCGAATAAACATTTGAACTTATATAGCCCAACAGACTCGCTAGTGATATCACATCAAGAAATTTAAGGTTAGAAAAAATTTACCACCTCTTCAACTTCAGTTATTTCAGATCCAGAAGCTAACGAGGATGCTTCATATATGCTCCTCTCCTGGACAATGTCTGGTTGAGAAGTCCTATCTTGGAGTGAATCTTCAAGTAATTTAACCTTTGTCCTTAATTCATCAATAATCTTCTGACTGCCAACTAACTTAATATCAAGTTCCAGGGCCTTTGATTTTGAATTTTCAGATTCTGATAGAATGCCATTGATATGCTTTTCCAAAGCTGGCATTAATTCCTTTACACCTTTAGATTTTCTATCTATTACCCATTCACTGGCTCCCAAAATATCCATAATTTTTTCTAATAAATAGGTGAGCTCAGACAATTCATTCTTGATCATTTTTGAGTCTTCATAATTTCTATTGAGCTGTTTGACTTCCTCCTTCAGATCCTGAATTTCAAGATCCTTAGTTTCAAGGATTGATTGCAGCTTTTCTTTATCATGAGACACAGAGTTTATTTGATTATGCAACCTTGTAACACTATCAATAATGTAAAAGAGTTTTTTCATAGGAGCTGAAGTATGTGGCTCCAAATCATCTTCTTCAGACTCTACAATAGGGATTTTGAACCTATCTATCTTGTCAAAGAGATCTCTCATTTGAGATGCTGGAAGGAGGGAGCTTTCTGCCGATAGAAAAAGGAAATCAAGTCATAAACAAGTAAATCAACATATGCAAGTTAAATAAAATCCAATATGGTTAAGTCAAGAAAGATTTCAAATTTTTTTACCTTCTTCTTTTGCCAACAAAGCATTGTGCATTGATGAAATCTCAGCCTCTTTTTCCTCCAATTTTTCTTCTAGGGCATGATAACCCTCTGATTTATCCTTAAGCTCACTACAAGCATTTTGCACTGATTGAATATCAGACTCCAGCTGCAAAACTCTGTTTTTATTAAAGTCTCTCTCATCTGTGACTAATTCAAAAGCATTGCGCATTGATGAAATCTCAGACTCTTTTTCCTCCAACTTTTCTTCTAGGATGCGATAACCCTCTAACTTATTCTTAAGCTCACTACAAGCATTTTGCAGTGATTGAATATCAGACTCCAGCTGCAAAACTCTGTTTTTATTCAAGTCTCTCTCTTCTGTGACTAATTTAAAAGCATTGTGCATTGATGAAATCTCAGCCTCTTTTTCCTCGATTTTTTCTTCTAGGGCACGATAACCCTCTAACTTATCCTTAAGCTCACCACAAGCACTTTGTAGTGCTTGAATGTCAGACTCCAGCTCCAAAACTCTGTTTTTATTCAAGTCTCTCTCATCTGTCACTAGTTTAAAAGCATCTGTTGTTTCTTTCAATTTATTCTGCAAATCTTCAATTGTTGCATCTACCTGCTCACTTCTACATTTGAACTGTTCAATCAAAGTTTGAGCTTTTCTAGAAGCATTCATCAAATTTTGTGTGGCTTCCACATATTTGCTGTTCTTCTGATGTTCTTCTTGTGCACCTGCTTCAAGGTTTAACTTAACATCAGAAATGGAGCCTGCCTGCCCAAGATTCTTGTCAACTTCAGTCTGAAGTGCAACAGTAGAATCAATGCATGCAGATAGCAATACACTGACATTATTTTCTAATGTGGCAATAATGTTTTCCTGGTCTTCTTTCAACTTCTCCATTGTATTTGTTTTTTCTTTCATAATTTCCATGTGCCCAACAATAGCTGTTGAGATGGTCTCTGTTTCCAGTAGTTTTTCATGGAGAGGAGAAATAAACTCATCCATAGAATCCGAAAATTCATCAAACTTATCTGCAATGTGTTTGTTTCTGAAATGAAATCCTTTCGCAATATTTTCAAATAATGAGATTATGGTGTCAATATCGGCACCCTCGACCTCTCTATTGTCTAGTTCAATTTCAAAAGTTTCAAGGCCATCCAAGAATGTTTTTCCCACAAGTGGATTTTCCTGGAACAAACAACACCAAATATAAGAAAAATACATACAATGAAAAAACAAATAGACCAAGCTATATTAACAAAGACACCAATAGAGATAGACACACAGAATGATTTAACAGAACAAATTGAAACAACACACATCTGATATCAAAAGCTCCGTGTAATTTCTAATCAATGAACACTTGAAAGCATTATGCATTAATAACCACCAAAATTCCCAATCATATGTGGATACATCTATCTTAATGGTCAGGAGACTTGGACATCATATTTATGTAGGTTAAATCAGTATTAAATTCACACAACAGGACAAAATAATAAGAGAAAAAAAAAAAAAAGAGGGTGCTAACAGGTAACAATATTACCTCCATCACAAGCTCTTCTTTTGATTCATTTGCAGTCAAGGCAACATTATCTCTTATTTTGTTCACAACAAGATTCATGTTCTTCAGGGTCTCACATTTCCTCTCAAAGCATTGTTTTATTCTGGGAAATAGAGTAGTGTCTTTCATGAGCACCTGAAGATCATTAAGAAGTTCAACGAGCTGTAAGGACCTGTTTTCTAAGCTGCCATTCTTTCCAGCCAACTCATCCATGCATGAATTTAACTTAAAACCAAGGGAAGATATCTCCTGTTTTGCAATTTTATTTGCATCTTCTAAGGCAGAAATATCATCTTGTGCCTTTGATAATGCACCCTCCAGTGATTTTATAGTTTCAGAGGCACCTACCAATTTGCTATCGTGATTTGCAGCTTCATCTTGCAGCTTCTTCAATTCATTTTCCATGTCATTCTTCACAATTTGATCGGCATTATACTTTTCAGTCAATAAATTGACATTATCCTCAACCTGAGATAGTTTATCTTCTAGATCCTTTATGGTCCTGTAGGCCTCTGCCAGTTTGCTTGTTTGCTTGAGTGCTTCATCTTTAACACTCTCTAACTCTCGCTCTGCAGCAACTCTACTAACTTGAGTCTGCTGTTTCTCTTCGGAAAGAATAGAAATATCTTTTTCTGCTTGTGACAAGGCATCTTCAAGTGACTTAGTAGTGCTACAAACCTCAGCAATTTTTTCTTTAACTTTACTTAACTCTTCCTCAACTTTTGCCTTCCCACGTTCTAACTCTGTTTTTTCTTCAGCAAGTTGAGAAACATTGTCATCTGAAGATAATAATTCCTGTTCAAGGGATTTTACAGTTGCTTGGGCTTCTGCTAATTTAATTTCAAGTACACTGACCTTCTCCTTCTCTAGATGCAACTCTTGTTCTACACGTACCTTAGCATCTTGGCATTCGCTGACATAACCAGCAAGCCACTTCACCTTTTCTATTGGTTCATCAAAAACTGGATCAACTGGAAGAACAATACCATCAATACACTCCATCACTTTCTGCAACATGTTATTGCTCTCTGTTAAGAACTGTTCAAACTGATTCCTGTCCCTTTTCATTTCAAGAAGATCAGCCTCCAGCTTCGAAATGCTTTCCACATCATTAGACAATCTGTTGATCTCCTCCCTGTATTCAGAAACTGCAGATTCTTGCTTCTGTAAATCAATCTTCAACTGCTCAATCTCTGAGTTCTTTTCATTTAGAAGACCTTTTAGATTGTCCCTATCTTGAACCAGCCCCTTTCCTTTCTTAACTGCCATCGACAACTTATCCCTAAGCATGGCAATCTTCTCCTCTGATCGTTCAAGATCTTGCAGCAGAGAACTCCTTTCCTCTTTCATTGCTATAATTGCCTCAGATGCCACTTTCAACTCATTTGACAGCTTACTCACATCTGATCTAAGTAGCATCTCTTCTTCCAGTATATCTTCATAGAGCATTAATCCCTGATCTCTAACATACAAGAGACTTTGAATCCTGTCAGACAACTCCGCATCAATATGAGATCCTCTAGAGAAGGGACCACTCTGTTCTTTTATAACTTGAAAGCATAAATTGGCGATTGTAGAAGTGTTGGAAGAGATTTGATCAATCGCTTCCTCTTCAATGTTCAGGCCACAAAGATCGACTAATGTATTCACTATCTGATCCTTCTCCAGAGAAATCTGATTGTTCTTGCCAACAAGTTCATCATATTCGAACCTCAAATCATTTAATTCTGACAGAAGATAATCTTTTTCCTGTAACTCCAGCAAAAGAGAAACACTCAGGCGATCAATATACTTGCAAGATTCTTCCTTGATTGTGGAAATTTGTTCCTGTAGAGTATGCATATCATCCCGGGCCCTAAGAAAAGAATCCATAAGCCAATTCATTTGGGATTCCAAATCAGATGATGAAACAGGCTCTGGAAGGTCCACTAGAGATAGAGCTTCCTTCACATTGCATAACTCTAGGAAGGCATCCTTCAGTGTATTTCTTTCATCCACAAGCCAACTTAGTCTCTCTGACACATCAACCATTTCATTTTCATCAGGTTTGGCAAGAGATAAGATTTCTTCCACTTGCTCCAAAATTGCATTCTTTTCCTCTAATGAGTTCTGCAGGGACCCAACCATATCTTCACGTTGGACCAACTCCTCCTTAACAAGTTCAGCAGCTTGAAGTGCAACTGACTTCTCTTGCAATTCAATCAAACATTTCTCAAGCTCACTGGATTTATCAGCCAGAGACATCTTTAATGAATCTCGCTGCTGTACCAAAGCCTTTCCTTTTGTCACAGCCATACTAAGCTTTTCTTTGGTATTAGTACATTTAACCTTTTCCTGCTCAAGCTCCATTTTCAGATTTCCAAGTTCAGAATTTAATGTCCCTATTTTCACCTTTTCCTTGTCAAGATTGTCCACCAGTTTCCGGTTTTCATCTTCTAACTGAGCCAGTTTTTCAACCAATTCTGTTTCCTTTCTTTTGAGCTCCAGTAACCCACCACGAGCATCAGCAAGTATGTTCCCATATTCCTGTTCTTTAGTATCGAATCCTACCTCAGAGAAAGATTGCCCAAGCTGATAAATTTCATAAAGAATCTGATTATACTTTTCAATTAAATGTGCAGTGCCTTCCTCAATATAATCTATTTTCCCGTTAATAGTATCATCCAATACTTGCTCTCGAGTAACAACTGATGCAAGAGAGGATATCATCTTATCTATCACAATCTCAACATTACGATCTTTTTCAGGCTGAGCTTCAGGTGAAGCCTGCAAACTTTCATTAGACGCCATCAATTGAGCAAGCTTTGAATTAAGATCCTCTATCTCACGGTCCTTCACAGATAGATGTTCACGAAGATTACTTACAGTGGTTTCACTGTTTGATCGCTCTTCTGAGGCAGTTTTCACAAACTCCATACATTCTTTTATCATCTCCCTCAATGGAACATCAGTCACTTCCCTATCTCCAACTTTAGCTTCATTCTGTTGACCAGTGAGAGTCTTTAGCTGACAATGAAGATCAAGCACTCCCCGAGTGACAGTTTGTCTTTCTTCCTGCCCAACCCAAAAAAGAAATGATGAGTACTCGATGACAAATTCTATCCGTGATAGCTAAAACTATTCTTAATGCAAACCACAAACCTGGTATTCCTGCAAAATACTTTCTTTTTCAGGATCAGCTTCCTCCAGCTGGGCTGGGGAGTAAGCATCTCCCACTCCATTGCGCAATTCAACAGAATGCCTCTGTTGTTGATGCATAACTTGATTTTCGTCCGACACGTCATCTTCATTTTTCGCAGCTGCAGCTTCAGCTTCTTCCTCCTTTTGCCTACCATCAAATGTGGTTAACTCATCAGGGCAATCAACAAACATGTCATCTCTGGCAGTATCCTCTGCAGATTTTCCATCTTCATGGTCCCCCTCAACTCCATCTCTGGGATCAACACGCTCCCCCTGCTTCACTCACTCGCATTAATACAAAAGCAAAACCACGCATTCCCCCAATTTTCATGGCTTAGGAAATGAACAATTTGGTAACCGGTAAGTACCTGATCTTGAAAAGTATCAGTGTTTGATTCGGTATCCGCATTTGATTGGTCGTGCCCCACACGAGGACCCGAATCCGAATGCTGCTCCGCTACGTGATTATCAGACATCTCAACATTCAAATTCCTCACTCCTACACAAGATTTGGATCTGCAATTTCTGTTTCAATTACAATACGCAAACGATAACTTAAAAAGCACTAAAACCAATTAAATCCAAAATCAAATCTCGACAAATCAATCCAATCTTAAATAAACCAAACGAGCCAATATATATCTTCTTCTTTTTTTCAGAAGAGAAACCCTAAAACGAAATTGACTACAAAAACCTGAAATAGCAGTGTGAGAACCAAACAAAGTGTAAATGCGCACCTGTTAAGACGGATTGTAAGAAAAGAAAATTTTCGAACCAGATTTTATTTAATTTTTTTATTACTTTTATTCAGCTGTTATGGTGCTACAAATCCTGAAAGAAACTGTTATGTGGTAAACGGCATCGTTGCGAGACTCGTCGTTGACCTTTCTGCTGCTTTCACACTCATAAACGATAGGAAGAGGTAATACGTCACATTGTATAAATTAAAATAAAAAGATTAATTTAATTTTAAATGTAAACCAATCGAGCGCGTTTAGTTTAGCGGTAGGGGTTGATCCACCCCTTAAGCAAGGTCAGGAGTTCAAATCTTGCCGCTATCTCACTTTTTGAGGTGCCTCCAATCTAGCAAGAAGATTAGTCGAATACTCCATGGACAAAAAAAAAAAAAAAATAGCGTTTAGTAGGTCAAGGCTGCGTTTGCTCTCTTGCTTTAATTGTTACACACTGTTTGACTTTTTCTCTGTTTTTCCTTTAGCCGTTGTTGGTAATTGGTCATGTCTTTGCTATGCATTCAATGGGTCCAATTGACTGGTATAGCATACTTGTTGAATTTTAATTAATTAGCATATAAATATATACGGAGTCTGTTTAAATAAATTATAAAAAGTTTATATATAGAGATTTGTTTTCTTGCAGAAAATTCACCCGAACATGCTCAACATATAATTCAACCCAATCAGATAATAAATCGACTATAAAAGAAATAATAATATGACACGCTGAGATGATGAAAAAATCTCCTCTCATTAATGTTGTATCTTGAATATCTCTTATTAATTAATGTTGCACGTGTTGAATACATCGAAGCTATTGTCCTTACTCAAAACGTTGCCTTGTTAGCTCCCATGTCAAATATATCAATTTTTTTAACTTCAACTCCGTTAACATATTCATATATATTGATCATATTCTATTAAAATCATTTTAAAATATAGACCAAGTTGAAGCCTAGAAAATTAAGGAACAAATTCAATTAAAAGGTCGATGACTTGAAAAGTTGAAGCATTTCGACTAACAAGAGTGCCGTGGCACTGGGAGGAATAGGAACAAAAATGGGTAGGTAAAATTAGAAGAAGAAAAAACAATGCATTAAAGCACAATAAATCTCCATTCAAACTTGTGAGCAAAATTTCAAATACAAAGCGTCATTAAATATAAAAGCATCCACATACTTTCAACACCTAAATGCTTGAGGTTTTAAAGACAATCAATTCATGTCATAATATCAAAGATATAATAAAATCGTACATTTATCTTTATTCTACAATCGAACCTTTTGTAGCAGTTTATTCCTGTTGCTACCCATACAGATAATATTTCAAAGCAAGTAAAAAAGAAAATCATACAATTACACAGAACAGATTCATCTTCTCAATATCAGTCTGTGTCAACAAGTGATGATTTACCTTAATGGACCCTTATACAAGGAATTCCAAGTTAATTGCAAGAACAATGTCTACAATGGAGATATATCACAGGAGTAAGAAGAATGGTTTTTCTGGGCTTAAAAACCAGAAATCTCTCGTACCAGAACTGTGATTAAATGACCAAAGTATTTTCTTTTTTCACCAGACTCTATTCACATTTGCAGTCCGGAATTTCCTATCTGTACAATTTTCTTCTTATGTAGTAGAGAACTAAATCAAGTATTCATAATACATTAGAAAAAGTGCATCTGGGTGATCTTTTGGCAACTTGCTGATATAGAGATAAAAACGCAACAAATCCTCCCTAGAAACCGTTTCTGCATCAACAACATCATCATTACAAGTTAACACCCATAGATCCTCTGAATTAACTCTCCTCAAGCTACCACGGCAAAAAGGACAAGACTCCGATTTTCGGTTCCTGTGAGTCACAAAAGTCCAGCACAAATGTCAAAACAACAAACCATTGGCAATGGCATATAAATTTGATGGTTGACAATGAGCCTGTTCTTAATAGAGTTGCTGTAAGCTTCTCTACTGAAGATAATGAGTTTTTTTTCCAATACACAAGCTCTCAAGAACACTTAAAACTTGTATGCACACAGACTCAATATGAAAATATGAACAGAAGCTATATTGATTACCACTTGCGGTAGCATTTAATACACATGGCGTGGCAGCAACCGGGTAAAACCATTTTGGTGCAAGGCTCTAAGCAAATCCCACATTCATCTTCTCTTTGCAAATCAACATTGGTAAGTTTCCCACCTTCTTCGGTCACCTTCTTGCCATGACTTGAACCTTCTATGCTTGATTGCCCTTTTTCACAAACCTCCAACTTCTCCAAACTACCATGAAGCCGCTGGAGAGACGGCAATATAACGGCTAAAAGTTCAATTTATAATCACATAAACAATGAGGAATAGTCAGCAATGACAGCCACAAATTGATTACACTTTCTATTAAAAAAATCATAAAAAAGCTTTTTTTTCACAAGTCAAACATTCACACACCATAAAAGTCCCCAATTGTGGCCTTCCTTCCATGTGTAGACATGCTTGATCTACCATCATTGTGTACCTATGGTAAATTATGAGAGCAACACCAGCAAAAGAAAAACATGATCAATTATATAGACCATAGGTATTATTATTGGCCAAACAGTCCAAAAAGTCAAACAAAAAAAGGAACAAAGAACAATGGAACAACAGAAGGAAATAGAAAGAAAGATACCTTGTATATAATTATGTGGAAGAGGTTGAGATACCTATGGAGAAAGCCTGCACAAGAACAATCCATCCATTGTAGAAATAACAGGAAGAGAGGAGCCAAGTGATTGTAAACCAATTTCATTTGAAGAAGAGTCCCACCCTTGGCTCTGGGAATTGCAGCAGCCCTAGAGGGGCACAACACACAATCCAAATTCAGAGGGGGGAAAAAATAAAATTCACAATCAAATTGACAAATTCATAAGTAATTAGTAAATTCCTATTATGAGTAAAAACTTGATTAATAATTATGTCCCTTTTCTAAAAACATAACTGATTAGCAAACAATTAAAGACAATAATCAACAATCAGAGAAGACCCTTCACTCCCACTTTTTTCCTAGTGCCCAAAAACATACACACAAAAGGAAAGTTAATTAATTGAAGGAAAAATTAAAAATTTAAACTCACAAAGCATTGGCGTGCTGTATATCAGCCTCGAGTACTTTGAGGGAATCGTGGTAAGGTAAACGAGAAAGGTGGTACGGAATCATTGCCATCTTTTACCCTCTTTGTGGAAAGTTGAAGCACAGAATAAACTCAAAGAAGGGTGACAGAAAAAAGAGGGAAAAAAAAAAAAAAGGAATTTTCGTTGTGAGAGAGTGAAGTGAAGATGGTGTTGAGGAAAAAAGAGCAGAGCGATGATGAAAGGAAGAGAAGAAAAAGTAGGGCTTGGTGTTGTGGGAAAAAGGTAGAAGCTTTAGGGAGGATATAAGAGGAGAGTGTGGTTGGGTTTTGGTTTTTGGGTGTTGCGGTGGGTGAGGTAAGGAATGCCGTGAGACCACGATGCGTTGCGTATTGCGTTTTTTCCCATGACGAGATAATACCTACGACTACGAGAATGAATCATCCATACAACACACTCAACAACAACTTGTGTTTAACTTCATTTCATTAATACCTCAATTTCAATCTCTTAAGTTAACTATTATTTTTTTACTTTTACAATATTAAAAATAGATTATAAAATTCAATACTCATATATGATTCAAATAAAAAAAATTATTAAAAATTATAATTTGTATTAATATTATAAAAATTTATTATTTATAAACTTATAATGGAATGTGATTAGATCATACTGTTTTATGATGTGTTTGGATAATGAATTTTATAAATTTAAATAATTTTAAATTTTTGGTATTTGAATTACTTTAATTTCAATTTTTATCATTCTTAAAATATTTTATTTGGACAAGTCAATTCAAATTTCTCAAATTTTAAATTGTTACGTTGAATATGATAATTTAATTCTACCATGATAAAATTGATTTTAAAAATATATTTATCTGTTGGGATTTTTAAATTAAATTTTATAAAAATAAATATTAGCTCATTTTAAAAATTAATATTAAATAATATTTAATAATTTTAAAAATATTTTTGAATATTCAATAATTAAAAACATGAAGAGATAAGAGATAAGATAAAATATATAAGTGAAATAAGAAGAAAAAAATATGAGAAATTTCAAATTCTTACTTTAACGAGAGAATTTGAAATTTTACTATTTCAAGGAATTTCACAAATGCTTGAATTTCAAATTCCTTATAAATTTTTCATCCAAATAAGGTATTTCACCTTAAAAAATTTGAAATTCTTCAAATAAATGAATTACTCCATTTAAATTCCTCATCCATTAAATCTTTTTTTTTATTAACAGTGATAGATCAAATTTTTTATATAAAAATTATTAAATATTTTTCATTAGTAATATTCTTATAAGAATAAGAAATAATACATTTTATATATTTAATTCTTTATTAAATAGTTAATGAAAAAAAAATTCTTTTATTTCCTAGATTTTAATGTTTGTAAAAATTGTTTTCAAATAATTGTTGTCCATGCTAGGAATCTCAGTGTTGCATAATTTCTATTTTAAGTCCGTTGTATATTATAAACTATTAAGAAGTTATGTTATTATTCTTTCCCTTTCCCCAATTCTCTCTCCTCATTCTAGTATGACCATGGCTAACTTATCTAGGATTTTCCGTTGTCGTATTCCATCGTATATTCTGGTTTTTTTAATTTAAATATAAATATTATACGTCTTTTTTTGTTTATTTAAAAAACGATGGGAGATTCAACCAATATTGTATTAGAATTTCAGAAATTGAATAATTGAGATGTAATGAAATTTGTTTAATCGGGTTAGCTGGGTGCTTAAACATGGCTTTTTTTTTTTTATATCAAGTGTTTAAAATTTTAATATAACTATTATAAAAATTTATAAATTTATAGGAGATGATAATTTTTTATTAAATAACAGTATAAAATTATATTATATGATTTTATATTTTTTAACCTTTAATAATAAAATCGTATAAATATAAGATGATTACTCTCTATTGGTGAAAAGTGCTTTTACACGGTCAATCGATTACAATTTATTATTGATATGATTTTTTAGTTAGTCTAAATTCATTTTTTTTTGTCTATTTTTTAGTAAGCATATAAATTTTATTCAAAAAGAGAATAATAATTACAAGACATACATGCTCTTATTGTATCTATAGTTATGTAAATGTATAATTTTAGTCTTCCAAAAATCTCTATTTTATTTTGAATGAAATGTTAAAAGTATTAAAAAAAAATTAAATAATATATTTATTCTTAAAATCAATTAAAATATTTTTATAAATAACTTTAAAATATAATTACCCATAAGAACAAATATCTTATTACTTATCCCCACCCTATTAATTATTGAGTATCGATTTGTCTATTTTTTTATATTATAGCGAATTTTACTTGTACAAATAATAGATACAATTTTCTTTTATCATCCTAATTGCAACTTGCGAGTATAGATGTATAACATGTGAAATATAGTAATATACTTTCAACAATAATTTGAAAATAATAAACGACTCACTCTTCAAATTGTGCGTTCCACCTTATAATTTTTTTTTATTGATAAACAATAATATTATAAAGATGTAAGATTTAAATTTAAGGCTTTATATATATTATTTCTCACCACTAGGTCATTAACTTAAAAATATATTTAATCTAAATTTAAATAGCAATAATAAAAGTCCATAAAACACTTTTATAGGTAAAGGAGAAGGAGGAGGCTTTTGTAGACAATTTGAAGTTGAATAAATCTTCAAACTATCCTTTTTCTTTTAATATATAATATTTATGTGTCTTATCCAGTGTTTTAAAACCCGGACCGACCCGGTCGGTCGGATCGGTTGGACCGGGAACCGGTGGTCCAGCCGGTTCCAATCTTAAGTTAGATCGGTTATGCAGTTGACCCGTTTCAAACCGGATTGAACTGGATAATTTTCCGGTTCAACCGGTGAACCGGTGGGTCAAACCGGTTCAATCACTTTTTTTTTTTTAATAAAATTTTTTAAGGGACCATAAATCACAAAAATAATAATAATAATTGAATCTCTTAATGGAAAAGTAAGGAGTCTTATTAAATATAACAATAACTACTTGTTCTAATATATTTGTTTGTAATATATACAACTTAAATAACTTTTATAGTATATTATTAATTTTAAATTATATATTTAATAATATAATATCTATGTAAATATTACATATATTATTTTGTGATATTAATTGCAAGCATATTATATATGTAAATATTATTTATATTTTTAATTTGTATTAATATACCGTTCAACATATAATTTTTTATGTATTTTTTTATAAAATAAAAATAAAAATATTTTTTTATAAGATAGAAAAATTAAAATTTAAAATAAAATATGAATTTATTAAAATTTATAAGTATAAAATATATTTAATATGAAATTTTTTTTAATATAAATAAATAAAAACCGAGTCATGCGGTTTAACTAATGACCCACCGGTTCAATCTTTGACTCACTGACCCAGTACCTTAACCGGTTCGATGACCGGTCCAATTTTTAAAACTATGGTCTTTATCCTATTTGATCTTTTTGTAAAATACACATGGGTTGGCTGCTCAATAGAAAACACTACGTTACCAATGAATATTCTAGTGAACTGCATTATTATATTATTTTATTCTAGGTACCCGGATTAGGTTTATGTGATGTATAATCCATCAAAATAAAGTCAAATCCACGCATATTTTATGTTATTCTATATTATAATAAATTTGAAAGATGAGTACACGTTATAATATTCACGCTTCTTCAAATAAACGTTCTTAATATAATATCGTGCCAATTTAACCCGTCTGTGGCTACTCGTCTCGATTTGCACAAAAAAAGCTTGTGTTTATCGAATTTAAATATTTTCTATTGATAAAATTAGGGCTAAAGGCGGGAGGAGACGGGACGAGGATATTAATATTTATCTTATCTTTGTTCTTGTATTCGCCTCTATTTTGCTTAATAATATCATTAAAAAATTATTTATATATAAATAAAAATTAAAAATATTTATATGTAAAAATTTGTATTATTTTACTTTTTTATTTTTTAAATTTACTTATATTTATTTAATAATAATAATAAATAAAAAATAAATAAAAAGAGTAGGAACGGGGCAAGGGTCGAGAAATCCGAATTCCATCGAGAACAAAGATGAGTATCCAAATTTTACCCCCAATAAATATTGGGAGGTGGTCAACATAAAATCCGCTCCGCACCCTATTACCATGCCTATATGTTAAGTAGATTTTTCTAGCTATCATATATCAAATAATGAGACAGCGACGAAGGAGAATTGTTGGTAATGTTTCAAGTAATCAAAATATGAAACTATTAGAAGCTTCAAATCATGAAAAGTTTCGACCCCAACATGGAGAAATTGACAAGTCACTACTATTACTATGAATCGAAAAATAAGGTAACCCAACAAAAGCACCTTTATTTTCCACAAAATAAATAATATGCTACGTTCATCTTCTAGTTTGAAGAAAGAAAAAGATAAATGATAGAAAAACGATGAAGAAAAAGTAGAGAGATTGGAGAGAGCTGGAAACAGCTAAGTTGAAAGAAACCTCGACTCGAGAATTTCCAAATATTACCTTCCATGCATAATTTATGCGGAAATATTTTTTTTATGAGCTATTATTTGTTTAAAATCAGTTTATTATCTGTTTCAATGTCATTAAATACAATTTAATTCGTTAAATTTTATTAGGTCAAAAACTATACTTTATATAAACTCATTAAATATAAATTCATTAATTAAATTTATTAGAATTGGGTAAAATTTAGGGGACATTTAGTAGGAAAGAAATTGTTTCATACTCAGAAATATTTATATAAAATTACTGTAAATTAAAGATTTTTACGTTAAATTAAAATGGTATATTTCTAAATATATAAATATTTTTTACAAAATTATCATTTATTAAGATAATTTTAATAAATATATTTGTTTACTTAAAATCTTATTATAAATATGACAATAATTGTTTTTTTTATCTAATTACTTTTTGAAGATAATAAAATATAATTACATATATATATATATATATATATATATATATAATTATATAACAATATTTGCATTTGAGTGAATGAACACCCATAGTTCGCTCTATATGAGCTAAAAAAAAAAAAAGTTCTCTTACAAGTATAACCGCAACTTAACCATTCAACCTACAACTCCAAATTTCTCATCCCACCTCATAATTCATGCATGCAACTTTGAAGTCTTCCAACTATAATAACAAACAACTCATGGATCAAAGAAAATGAGACATGTAACAATAATACACCAATCAAATCATCAAATATTTTCTTCCTCATTAAGAACACCAAGAACAAGAACATAAGGTTTCCACCTTAAAATTCAACTTCAATGGTTACTAAACGCATGAATCAATACAATAAAACATCATATATAACAGGAAAT